GTGTGTGTGTGTGTGTGTGTGTGTGTGTGTGTGTGTGTGTGTGTGTGTGTGTGATAATTTCAGGTCCCAAGTCATTCCTCAAGTCAGTCCGGCCCTGTACCTCAGAGTGAGCCTGAGTTCTAGGACATGGTACCCCCCAGGGCTGAGGCCCACAGATGGATGCCCTGCTCTGTATTGGCAGTGTTTCACACACTGAACAAAGTTATCACGGGATCTCGTGTGTTGGCTGCGAGCTCATTAGTGGGAGCCATACACAGCCCTCTTCTTTCCACAGGAGACGTGTAGCTGCCTGAAACTGTCATTTGCCTTCCTTCACCGAACGGAACCGACCTGACCGAGTGTGCCACGGCTAGGAGCTGTTGGCACCCCACCCCCAAATTCTTACCTTGAAACCCTATGGGCTGGGGCCACAAGGATGGTGCTCTCAGGATGGGAGAGGGGAAGAGAAACTGACCTACCCAGAAAGAGCCCCTCACCAAGAACTGTGACACGCGACCATCTGACCTTAGACATCTAGTGGAAATGTGCACTGTCTGAGCTCCAGGGATCTGGTCATTCCTTAGAGTGGCCAGACTGTGTCAGATATGAGGCGCCACGCAGCTATTATCATCCCGGAAGCACTTAAAGTGAGCACGCTATTTATTTCCCAGTGCCACTTCCCTGATCTAACTAGCCTAAGGAGGAGGTTGTCACCGCCCCAACGCCAAATCTTAACCCAAAACATTCTCACTGTCTCTGTCAGACTCCAGCTAGCTTGACGCCCATCTACTCTGCAAGGTGGCCCCGGACCTTAGAGTCACTTTCTTCTGACGTCACATGGCTAGCACCGCCCATGCCATCCGCCTCTCACTTACCTGTGCTCCTGGGCAGTTCCTGACTTTTTGACTAGAACTGCCTGATGCCCTCACTTAGAATCTAGCTCTCCCAGGACAGGAATCACACACACCCGGCACTGTGGTGCTCACTGGAGCATCCCGGTTTGTGCAAAAACGCCAGGAGACGCTAGAGCTGCTAGGGAAAAAGTTGTGGAGAGCAGACTCTGGTGCGCAGTGTCCCAAGACAATCAAAGATGATCGCTACTCACTCTTAAAGTCGGAGCTTTCCGAGGGGACGCTCTCAAGGTCCCCCCAAAGCCGAGCGGTCACACTCGATACCACTAACACAAGGCTATGTGTGCTCGGTCCTGTGCCTTCTCGTGAGACGCGGGAGGAGGGGCACAGTATCACCTGATCTCGCCTCAAACGTTCAACCTGAAGCCAATCACGACAAATTGGAGAAACCTAAAGACGGACCTGTGAGACAACCGGCCTGGATGCCTTCGACAGTCCACGTAGTCCACAGGAGTGGGAGCTGTCATAGGGCAAGAAAGTGAAAGACGCTGGGCCTGGTGGCATATACCTCTAATTGCAGAACTTGAGAAGCTGGGGCAGGAGGATGGATATGAGTTTGAGGCTAGGTTATGAAGACCCTGTCTACAGAAAGAGAGGGAGGGAGGGAGGAGGGATAGAATGAGCTAGGATAATGTGTGGATTCTGATTGGATTCCAGAGCTAGAAACCATGGAAGGACAAATAGGAACATTTAAATGCAAACTGTGTATCCGATATTATTAAGGAACTATGCAGTGACCCAGTGATCAAGATTCTGTGATACGCTAGAAGATGCGGGCTTCAGTATTTAGGGATAAATGTCGTCACATCTGCAACTTACTTTGGAATGGTTCAAGAAAAATATAGAGGACAAGGGAGACGGAGGGAAAGGGTCGTGGGAGGAACGGGGACAAAGGATTGGGAAGAAACATGTCTCGCTGCTGGTTTTTGATTCTGTTCTAGTGCTGGGAAGAGAACCTAGAGCCCTTACATGCTAGACAAACTCTCTTGCACTGAGCTACATCCCCAGGCCAAGGAAATCTCTTTAATAGTGTTATTTGAAGACAGCCGCTCAAAGAGACTCTAATTGCAGGGGATGTCTACTCTTTAAGACTGAACATCTTCAAAACAATGTACATCTTTGTACGTGTCTTAAATAACCTTAGCAAGTGGCTAAGGTTAGTGGTGTAGTGAATGTAGTTTTGGTCTACTTTACATTGAAGATTTAACACAAGGAATTAAAAACAAAACTGATTGGTAATCCCACCTTTAGCAGGGAACTATAAACAGACAGACAGAACACTTCCCCTGTCCACTTATAGCCACCCTGACTCCACTTACTTCATCTGTAAAATGGGACTGAAGGCAAAGGCTAGAAACATGTCCGCCAGTATCCTCTGTGTCAGACTAGCCTAGGCTTACACAATGAGCCAAACTTTGAGAATCCACCAAGACCAACTGCAACCAAACCTGTTCAGCCTGGAAGCTGCCCACCCCGGAATTGATGAAAACCAGAGGCCCACAGCAGGAGCTGCAGGGGGCAGCCAGCCCGGCCCAAGGGACACCCCCCTATTTTATAATCCCAGAACTAAGAAGGACCCGCACCATCACCACATTTTTAAGCACCACTGTTGAATTTTTTGTTTGTTTGTTTCTCGAGGCACTGGGGATCCGATCGGGGCCTTGCATGCGCTAACGTGAGCTGCCGCACCTGGCTGAGCACTCCGTGCGTTTCCTGTGCTGTGTGCCGGCCTCAGCACAGCTCTCTGCCCTGAATGGTGCTGCTACTTTATAGAGCTAGGTGACATCCCTAAGTGTACACTGAAGTGCTACAACCAGAAGCCACACCCTGAATTAGATACCCACGGCCTTAAGGTGACTCCTGTGAGCAACATCACAGACCAACTGCCACGTGACCATCGGTGTGCAAATCGGGCTCTTTTGAGAGTGGTAGGAAGAAGTAGGGGACTGTTCTCCCTGACTCAAGAGAAGTCATCTGAAAACCTTCCCAGGGACACGGACGCCATCCTGGATGGCCCAAGATTTCCATCTCTGTCTGGACTTCAAAATGCTTGTCACACTGGGGACATAGTTCAGTTGGAGTATATTTGTCTAGCACTGCACAAAGCCCTGGGTTTGATTCCCACCACTGTGTAAGCCAGGTGTGGTGGTGGACACCTGTAATCCCAGCACTCTGGAAGTGGAGGCAGGAGGATCAGAAAAGTTCAAGGTCATCCTTAGCTACCTATTGAGCTAAAAGCCAGCCTGGGCCTTACGGTACTCTGTCTCAAAAGCAAAACAAACAAGCCCAACGTGGTGGTGCACGTCTTTAATACCAGCACGTGGGAGGCAGAGGGAAGTGAAGATCTGTGAGTTCAAGGCCAGCCTGGTCTACATAGCAAGTTCCAGGCCAACCAGAGTTACATAGTGAGATCCTGCCACAAACAAACAAACAAAATCCAAAGAAGCAAATTCCATAAAATCTCCTTGGAGTAAAGCTTTGGAAGCCTAACATGCCTATGCTAACTCAGATTAAGAACACTGATATTCAAAACAACCCTTTATTTTCTAGACCTAGAAGTACTCCCTAACAGACCCTTCTGGGAGAGGCATAACCATCACTATCTGCCATATCACCTGTAGGGAAAATATGGTCAAAGCCATCCGTGAAGGGATGAGGACAAGAAACCCGATAATCACCATGGCGGCCGCCGCCAGCACCTACCTAGTGCCTCCTAAACGCTTCTTCCTCTTCTGTGAACCCATCCGATCCTCCCATCACTCTACTCAAGTAAGAGCTACTTTACCCCCGCTGCAGGGATGAGCAAACAGAAGCCGGAGAGCTTAATCCCCTGCTCAAGGTCTCTGTGGTGTAACGCGTAGCATAGTTAGGATTTGAAACTAGGTATTCTGGTTCCGGAATCTGTGGCTCTCCATCACTGTGCTCTGTCATCTCTCAACATGGAACCACGAGGCCTCTAACCTAAGGCTGGGGGGGGGCATGCATGGGGGGGAGTGGCTTTAGCCCCTGCACCACCACCCAGTCAGAAGCACTGATGTGTCCATCCAGAGGCTCAAGGATCCTGAACACCTTGCCCAACCTTATCCAGCTGGGTGAGGTTGGACCCAGCATCCACAGTCCCACACAACTTAAAAGGGACGCCACGGGCCTGTGATCCTGGCTGTCCCTTCTAGGAGCTCCAAAGAGGAGAGGATGATAGGACAATATTGAATTATTATGGACTAAGGTTCCCACTAGCTCCCAGCACCGGCTTACGATAAACGTGAGACACCAACTAGGCGGCGATGGGACACCTGTCCTGTTCTTCACAAATGAATGATCTGTGTCCAGTGCAGACACACTGCAGGGTTCATCCACAGCAACTAACAGGCAATTCCAGCACGAAGAGATGAAGACCAGGGCAGAGCTGGACTTTGAACACGATCGGCCAAGCAGGAGCAGGGTCATAAAGGATGAACTAAACCAGGGACCCACTGACACAGGCCTCAGAAGAACAGTCAGAGACAGAAACTGACTGCTGCCCACGGGTGGGAAGTCGGGGTGACATGGAGAGGGGCAGCTAAAAGGTACAGGACTTGTTTGGTGGAATGGGAGGAAAATGTCCTAAAGTTGACTGGGTGACTGGTACAAAACTGTGCCTATACTAAGAACAATTACAATGCACACTTAAATGGTATGTGACTTGCCTCCGTCAGGTTACAAAAATGACGTGATACAGGTATGTGGTCCCATCTCCATACCACCCTACCCACCCCAACTTATCCCAGGGAGTTGTGTACTCACTTTGACACCTTCATGGAGTCGTCTGCCCAGCCTCCCTGCCTTCGAGGTGGTTTCGGTGGGGGAGCCTGTGTGAGGGAAGCCAGAATGACGATCACTCAGCTTGTGCCTCCCAACACCATAGAGCACCAGGTCAGGTCACCTAAACCAAGTTAGGCCACTGAAGCACTTCCCCAACAAAAATATGAAAGTAAATTCTAATTTGCTACGAAAACCATACCATCATCCCTCTTGGTGGGTGTGGAAATTGGCACACTGTTCCTGATGGACAGCTGGCACCAAGACTTTTTGTTTTTCAGGCCTGGAGAATAAACCCAGGGTGCCAGTGGCCATGTCAGAGGAGCAGCAGGTGGCAAGTGAAGTTCAAGGTGTCAGCCCACCAGGAGGCACGTCCCTGATGGGTGAATCTCAGATAGGCAAGGCCCCGAGACCACAGACCCCCCAATATGTCTTTTGCTTCTGCTGTGCCTTTACATGCATGGAGCTAATGATTGGGAGTCCCTATCATGTACACGGAGCTAATGATTGGGAGTCCCTATCATGTGCACGGAGCTAATGATTGGGAGTCCCTATCATGTGCACGGAGCTAATGATTGGGAGTCCCTA